AGGCTGAGGTGAGCTTGGGGAAATGGGTAGGGGGACGTGGCTGAGAAATTGTGGAAAGTAATGGCTGTGTGAGTATGTGTGAGAGTGTCTTCCTGAGTGCGTGTTCTGACCCCTGAGGTCCCTCTGCCCGTGGTGTCCCCTGAACAGGAAAGACAGGTGTGGCGAAGGGGGCAAGAGCCTGGAGCTCCCCGGCGTTCAAGAAGATGAGGCTGCATCCTGAGCCCCTGCATGCGCCCAGGGCCGCCGGCAGCACGCTCATCCCACGCCTCCAAAGGCCCACTGCCCTCATGCCGACAGTCGCCCCTGCGGGCAGGGGGCTGAGGACTGTGGCCCCTCTTCCGGCCCTCCTCCTTCTATCATGCTGCATGACCTCAGCGCGCAAGTCCAGGGACAGGACTGGAATGTTTGTCATCTGGGGCTTGGGGGGTGGGGCTCCCATAAGGCCTTTCTCCTTATCCTGGCTCTCCCTGATGGGATCCATCCTATGGGAAAGAGAGGTACCCATGGTGCCTTAGAAACGCCACCTGGCTGCTTGGCAAGGCAGGAGGTAGGAAACCAAGGTAGCAGGTGGAGTCCTGGCTTACCACCATAGCAGAGACCGCCCACGGGGAGCCAGGCGGGCCTGGCTCACTGCCTCATGCGCATGGAGAGCTGTACCTTGCCCACCTCAGAGGGGGTCCTGCCGGAACTCTTGTCTACTGAGAATGCTGACATGGAGGCTCTGAGCCCTCAGTGGATATTCCTAGGCCTCAGGGAGGCAGGGGCCAGCATTGGAGAATTCAGATTCCTTTTTTGCCGTCTTTTACTTTTGTTTTTAATGTCAGGAGTGGAGTGGTGTAAAAGCCTGCTTGGGAACACCTAGAAAGCTCTCCTACAGCTTTGGGTGGTTCCTGGCACACTCCTCATTATTTGGCAGCCAGGTGGGATGGACTGACCTTCCTTGATTTTGTCACACTCGGCGCCACCGGGAGAATGGGTTAAATGAAAGCTTCCGGCAGGGGCCTGAGCCAGGAGCACCCACCTTCCCTGCCCACTTTACTCCCTCCCCGTGTGGCTCCCCTGTAGGAGAGACACCAGGGGCTGGCCGACCAAAGGCCCTGGACTCACAGGGCTGTGGCCTTGCAGATGCTGATGTAACTGGAATCCAATCTCCGACCCTACACTGGCCTACCCATCTGGCCCCAGAAGCTGCCCTCACGTTCCTACAATGAAGGACAAACTGCCCAGGTTGGAGGCAGCACTGGAAGCGGGACCCTGGTGGGGTGTGCATGCTGGCAGGTGGCCACAGAGAGGTGGGCCTCCTGCCACTGCCTCACCCCAAAGACGGTTGACATTCGGCCTGCTCAGAGCTGGTGCGCTGGAGCATGTGTGTGGACCTGGCCATGCTGGGGCAGACTTTATCTTCTCCCTGGGATCTGTGCCTGGTTGGCTTGGCACTTACTGACCAAATGCTCAAGAGATTGACCCCAAAGGAAAATAAAGCAGGACTCAGATACCTCCCCTGAAAACATGGGCTAAACACGGGATTTCAGTTGCCTCCGTGGGGTTCTTACTGCAGGAAGGCGGGCACTGAGAAGGAAAGGGAGGCTGGGCTGGAGGAGTGTCTGTGTCCTGTTCATCTTTGTGCCTGTGGGTATGTGTCGCGCCTCCACGCACACACGCATGTGCGTGCCCATCTGCTGCACACAGCACACCTGCATGTCTCGCACTGGCACGTGCATCTGTAATATAGTTTCTATGTGTCTTTAAGGCTATGAGCAGAATGTGGCCCATTGTCAATGGGCCCACATTTCTCCCTGGCCCCTCTGCACTAAGGCATTGTAACCCAGGGCTTAAACAATAATTCGATACTGTTTTTAAGAACACTTTTTCAGAGTTCATGGGAGGCTAATCACAGATCCACAAGTTTCCTTGAGCATCTCTACACTGGGGCCCAGAGGGTGGGAGTTTCAGGGGCCTACATCGATTGGACGTGCCCTCGCAGACCTCAAAGGTGGGCCTGGCTTCATTGCCCACGTGAGCCTGGATGGGGTGCTTACCGCATCACTGAAGGTTTGGGTTGGCATTATTGCTTTTGAATGTAGCACAAATGATAAACAAACTCCATAAGAGTGTTTAAAAAATTAACTTCCCAGGAAGTGAGTTAAAAACAATAAAAGCCCTTTCTTGAGTTAAACAACAACGACAACAACAAACTGTGTGTACATTTTCAACATCGGGATGTGTGCTCTTTCTCACCAGCTGGATCGCTGGCTTTGCTAGTTTTTCTGCAAGGGGCTGAAAAGGACAGTGGTGAGAGGCGCTCTGGATGGAGGCGAGAAAGAGGAAAGGAGGGAGAGGGAGGGAGAAAGACTGGCTCTGGAGGGTGAGGAGCTACAGTCCAGGATGTGGCTCAGGCTCTGGAGCAGGTTCTGCTGCCCCTCCTTGGGAAGAACACGATGTTTAGGAGCCAATGGGCTGCCCATGTTTCACAGGGGCCCAGGGAGCCCAAGGTCGGGTCCTTGGGAGCCATCCCACTCCTCATAGGGCAAAAGTCCCAGTGGAGCATCACGGAGTCTCTGTGACATGAGCCTAGTGTCTTTACTGTGGCCCCTTGGCCTTGAGCACTGCTATGGGCTCTCTGGACCCTGCAGCCTCCTGCTCATAGTAGCCCCCCATGGCCATCATGAACAGTCATCATTGAGGCCAGACAGCCTTGAGCTTGAATCCAAGCTTTTGTTTTAATAGCTCTGTGCGACCTTTGGCAAGCCATCGGAGGAGAGGAGTCTTGGTTGTCTTATTGGTAGAATGTGGAGAACAGCAGCACCTCCTCGGGGGGTTCTTGTGACATTAGATGAAGTCCTGGTGCCAAGCATCTGATACAGTGCTGTGTATCTAGTAAGGACTCAGCAAGGGAGGGTCTTAAAAAGAAGTTTCTGTCTCTGGAGCTGCCCGGAACCAGCCTTCATGACTATGGGCTCAGCTTAATCCTGCATGATTGGTATTTACCCGTCTGTGGAGTTCCCAGCTGGGTAAAACTGGAGCCCACCAGGAGACCAAGCCAAAGGCTACCCAGCCTGGGGATCAGTTTTTCCGTCTGAGGAATAGATACCAAAGTTTCTCCTGCATGTTTTCTGGTCATCCTGTGACGGTCCCATGAGGGACTGTACCAAGCCCTCTACGAGAGGGACACTGGTAGCCAGGCAGAAGTTTCCCAAATGCCGAGACCAGTAAGTAGATCTGTTCCCAGTTCTTCCCCACCATCTCTCACTTCCTCACTGATCTGGCCTTGGTCCTTAGGACTCCAATCCATCCTCTCACTGCCTGCCAGAGCAATCTTCAGGCACCAACCTGGCCATACTCCTCCCTCTCAGAACCCTACCATGCTCCTCCAGTTTGAGGCCCCTGCCATCAACCCTGCTACCCTCTCCGGATGGTTTCCTAACCATGCCCCACACTCCATTGAGTCCTTACTCCCCACAGCTCTCCAGACCCACCCACTTCTCTAGCACACCACCTTCCCTCATCCCTGCCTTTGTTTGTCAAAGTCAGTCCCACCTTCAAGGGGTTGGTTCATCCCTGGCATCGGTCACCAAGCCCTGGGCCTGGGTACGACAGGCCAAATCATGCATAAGAGCTTTGAATAGGACCACAGGTGCATGACACCATTTCCCCACAAGGACAACCACTCTAGGAGGCACACCGTGGTAGGGAAACTGAGGCTCAGGAAATAGTGTCTCGCTCCGTCACATGGCAAGCCAGAGAAGAGCCAGACTAGAGCCCAGGTCCCCAGCCCACCCACCCCACCCAGGTCTTCCCACATCAGCTGCCAGGAAAATGGAGAACCCTGCACAGGGTAAGGACATCTAGGAAAACCAGAGACAGAGGCTGTACTTCTAA